GCCGAGGTTTCTCCCCTCTGGGCAAGCCCCTACATTCTCGGCAAAAGTTTGCCAGCTGGACGTGGCGATGCCTGGATTCTTACCCTCCAGCAGCTCCAGGACCGCCGCCGCAAGCACCGGAGGACCCGGAACCCAAACAGCTGCCCTGTGCCGCCTTTGAATCGCGTCCAAGCCCACCATCCTAAGCTTGGCACCTTCCCAGGGAGAGATGTGCCCAATTTGATCAGAGAGCCAATTGAGCGCCATCTCATCTTCCCCCCTTATGACAATGGCGCCGTTACGTAGACCCGCCGTCCCCGTAAAGCGTGGCAAAGAGCCCTCCCGGATCCCCACCAGCTCATTAACAACGCTCTCCATAGCAAGGTCAACTGCTCAGGAGACACCGTCCGTTCGGGGTAGCCCTGCTGGACAATTGCTCTCGCCAAGGGATCAGCGGCAGAGACGTAGGGCCCAGTTGCCTGAGCTCTGGGTCTTTTGTTGACCCTCTGCATCGAAGGAGGGGTATCAACAGAGCCCGTCCGACCCCTTTTGCCGGTGTGCCCCTTCTCCACCTCCTTCAGCGTTGACTCGAGGGCCGAAGAGGGAGGGGAAGCCGACCCGGTTAAGGCTTTCTCCCTGTCCTTCCTGGTCCTCTTCTCGGCGCGGCAGCAGTTCCTCTTGTGAGAAACCGCTGTTTCACTGACAGCAGCTTCGTTCCCTTCCGGGCTCAGAAGAGCCCGTCCAGAAGCCGAGACTGTTCCCCCTAGGGGTGGGAGTCCTCGTACCCCAGAGACATCGTTAACGACACTGCGCTCCCAGTGCCATGCAGTCTTTGCCACGATAGCTCCCAACTTGGCTTATGGAGCCCCAGACAGGGTTTTACGCCACCGGAGCCAGTTATAGCCACCGCTACCCAGAAGCCTGCTCGGGTAGTCAAAATGACAACCCGGAGGTCCTGAACATCCTCCTATCTGCCACCCGGAGATGTGCTCGATAGGCAGCTCAACCCACGGGTTCTCATTAGATTATCTTGAAGCTTTTCCAGTGTATTTCGAGTTTTGTGACATTGTATACAAATAGAAGAGTAAATAGTGGTCTGTATCGAGATCCGCACAAAGGCGTTTTAGTCAAGTGCACGCGTATTTAATATAATATTTAAAGTCGATTTTATCAAAAACAAAGCTTCACATGTGTCGTAACCCGACCGATTTCTTAATATTAAAAGATAAAACAAGTAAAGTAGAACAGAAAAGATTGAGAAAGAGCTGACTAAAGTAAAGCATTAGAATCAGGGAAAGATCTCAAGGAAAAGTAATTAAGAAAGAATAAAAGATTATTAATGAAATAAAAGTAAGATACGTGACTAAAGAGAAGGAAGTCACGGTCAAGTTCTCGGAAGCTGAGTAAGCAGTTGACGAGACAGCTGACGAGCGGAGCACGAGACATGCTCCGGTCAGGGACACCACACTCCTCCCTAATCAACGACCTAATTAATTAATATATATTGAGCGCGAGATGCACCGACGCTAGCTCAGTAATATAGCTCATTAACATCGCTCACTACTCGCTCGCTCATATCAACAGTATCGATATACCTTACATCGCGTCCGACTATTATAATCGCGAATAAGTAAAAGTGTACCAAAACCTGTGAAATATATTAATTTATACCTAACGTCCGGGAGTGTCTTATTTCGAGCGTGGATCCTAATCCTTTGGGCGTATAAATCCCTAAAGACCTCTTCCTTAGCGGCTAGAGGCACAACATTAATTGGTGGCAGCGGTGGGATACGCCAGCTCTAACAAGATCGACACCGGCAAAGGTCCACAACCACGAGGAAGAAAAATTCCGTGGAATCGACAGAACGAGAGACAGCAAAGGAAACTCCGTCAAACGGTCAACAATTACAACCGAGGAAAAGGAAGTCCATCAGGAACTTCGAGTCACCCGGTACATCGAGGCGACAACGATAAGCGGAACCTGAGAAGGCGCACCGACCTATCTCAACAGCACGCGACGATCGACGCCCGACGGCCGACACCGAACGAGAGACAATGCTGCTCATCGTATTTTTGTAAGTCGAACAATTAAAAATTTGTAAACGCGTGAATGTCGGAAAACCGAAACGCGCAACAAAAAAGCGTAGCGAATAAATCGTGGCTATTTAGCGAACCAGCGAATAGAGCCATTAGAAATAGCGCAGTAAGCCCTATAAGAGTAGCAGTAGAAGCACTCCGGGATATACGCGATAACGTACGAAGAAATCTAAATGAATTAAATTCAAGCGAGAATTTGTCCGAACCAGAACTCGGAGCAAACGTTGTAATCGAACGCGAATTTTCATTCGGCGAATTAGACAACAGTTTAATAGCGAATAATATAGAACTAGATATTGATGTCGAATCATCAATAAGCGCGTCTAGTAGACTAACACACCGCCGCGAATTCTCACTAACGTCATACGATTCAAGTATCTTTGACCCCGACGAAATCTATCGTACTCGAGACATGTATAATTCAAACGCTTCCGCATCGCAACCCATCACATCGGAAGATATCGATGAGGGAATTAAGCGATTACAAGAAGAAGCAAATAGAAACGCGACACAATCAAACGCGCAAGCTCAATACAAACCGCGGAAAGAAACGGACGAAGCAGCCGACCTTAGGGACATATTGCGGGAAATGAGAGAGGAAATGAGACGGGAAATTAGAAGTATGCATGCCGAGATATACGATTTAAAAATGAGAGGATCGCAACCCCGACAAAACAATGAGCATAGAACTCCGCCGGGAGAAAGAACCGAAACCGCGTACGAGTCCACACCCGAAGATGTACGACATCGAAGAGGACACGGATTTTTACCATTAAAAGAAGCTCGCGGAATGATTCCGGAATTCGACGGATCGCCAAATAAATTGCAAGAATTTTTGAGCGCGACTACATATGCAGTAGAACATATTGACCCATTAGACGAAGTAACGCTATTAGGAGCAGTATTATGCACGAAATTAAAAGGCAGAGCGATGCTAGACTTTCAAACGCGTAAAATTCAAGATTTCGCACAGTTGAAACAAGAATTAGAGGTCTGTTACGCAAGCAAAAAGAGTACGACCCATCTACAAATTGAATTTAACACGCTAAAACAGAAGAACGGAGAAAGCGCGCGAACTTACGGACTTAGAGCCGACAAACTAGCCATGGAGCTATACGAATCGATGATGGAAGGACGTCATCATACAGTAGATAATAAACGCGCAATCATGGAAATAATACAGCAACAAGCCTTAGAAAATTTCCAAATAGGATTGCAAGACGAAATTAAAACAATTGTTCGATCGCGAGGATATGCTACGTTGCAAGAAGCAATAGCAGCGGCCAGCGCGGAAGAAAAGGTTAAAGGACCGTCCGCGACCGGCACGCGAAGCAAAATCAATTTTACACCGACCTATAAACAGGAAAATCAAACGAATGTAAAATGTCAAAAATGCGGAAAAACCGGGCATTACGGTCGAGATTGTCGAACTAGCCGATACGCGAATCGATTTTCATTGCCGAAACCCGATAGACAACCCCGCGTAAATACGATAAATAAATATTGCAATTATTGCAAAAAATCCGGACACGATCGCGAAGAATGTTGGTTATTACACGGACGACCCAATAGAGATCAATCGAGCCGAACCAAACAATATAATTCGCGACCGGAAAATAAAAACCGCAAGAATAGCGAGCAAGGAAAAAAGAAATTTAACTCCGCGCAAAGTAGCGATGAGGAGGAAAGGAACGAAAGAAAATCGCACCGACCTGCAATTGAATATCAAGTATCACACTTTAAAAATACGCCGCATATACAGACAGGATTGGACCTTGTCACATTACCAATGCGAGAAGCGAAACGCGAAAAAATAAATTTGCTA